CTGAGCTGGCACCGACATTTTGCTTACGTATACTTTTTTACATAAAATGTATCTACACCGTGAAAGTTTACATAGAGAAAAGAAACAGCATGTTATCTTTTCAGCATTTTATAGCCATTTGAAAACTACTCGGTCTCCTCCGCAATGGAAAAGTCGGCTTTTTCTGCTTCTCGAGATGTGATTTAACCATTTGAAAAGCTCAAAAAGCTGTGAAAAGTTGTTTCATGTAATCAGCATGCATGAAAACCCTACTACGTACTTTTACATAATTTAAAATCAATGACGGGTCTTCAAAATAGGTCAAGGGGGACTTCATACGAGTTCAAGATCAAACTGGACTGGACTTCGTTTTGAAATTTCCCTGGTGCCAGCTCGTGCCCAGCCCTGGGTATGAAAGATGGAAAGGCGTAAGTTTTGAAGCAGAGCACATATATTATGCGCTCACCCTCCTTCCTCTGGCTCCGTGGCTCATGAACCGGGCAAGACCAGATATGCCAACTAGTCCTAGATAAAGTACGGGAAACGGAGAGACAACCATGAAAAACCCTTGTGGATGGCGAAGCCATTTTTTGTCGGCGAAATGCCAAATAAGGACAACGCAATAATTGGACAATTGAAGGGTCGAGGCTCTCAGTGGACAACGATAACAAGCTTTTCGAATGAGCGGGCGGTGATAATCCGGAAAAATTGGCGAGCGGGCAGCCACAGGCTTTGAACTTGTGGGTAGCCATGACTTGTGTGAATCAGGAAAATTATTCCGTAACATGTTAAAGGCTATGATGACAGCTAATAGGCGACGACGAGGCAGATAGTTAGTAACACCAAGCGAAAGGATGGCGAAAGCAAGGTTTTGTGAGCGGGTAGCGAAGATATTGTAAGCGGGTGGCGATAGATCGCTGCACGATGGTAGAACTTGTGATTTTGTCGATATCTGATTGCAGTCTACTTTGAGCATATAAGCAAATCAAGGGCCATTTTCTCGAACTCTGCTTTAGTAAGCTATTACAATACCGCTCACAATTCGTCAAAAAAGTCGCCGGAGTGGACTGCAGTGTGCCGGAGTGCAGCAGATTGCGCCGCACTCCACTAAAGTCCGCCGGAGAGCAGCGGAATGCGCCGCACTCCACTAAAGTCCGCCGGAGAGCAGCGGAATGCGCCGCACATTACTAGAGTCTGTCGGAATCCGCGTCGCATCGCCATATCTCGCTTCAGAATGGAGTTCTAAATCCGAGGACTCAGTTGATTCAGCTCGGCGAGACGCATCATCTATATATGTAAGTGTCACAATATAAAGGGGTACGATAGGTATACGGTACACAATAAGTCTTTGCTCAATTTCGCAGATTTTTGTTTGTTTGGATTGTTCAGTGTGCTGATAACAATATTCCCATTGATTTCTCGTTGATGACACATAGTAGGTGTACTGTAGGAGTATGGTAATGAATCACTATGATCGAATTTGTTTAAAAATCAGCTCTCAAGAGACAAACTGCACAGCTCGCTCTCGAATATGCAAAGCTCGCGGAATTTCGCAAAAGTCGCGATATTCCAGGAATTTCGCGACATTCCAAGATCCGCGGAATCACGCGAACGCAGAATACGCAGCGCTAAAACTTTTTTGAAATGAACGAATTCTGAATCCGCAAGCAGCATTGTGTTCAGCTCGTCAAGGCAAATTTTCCAATGTACAGCATGCCCTCGATATTCCGTTTGCAGTTTTCTCAAATTCTTCTGTGGAGGTCCCTTCGCAAGCGTGTAACGCAGCGTTTGTGTAGCATAACAGATTCCAACAAGTACTATTCGATAAAACTTTCTTGTAGGTTATCGTGCGCTAAAAAGTAGACGCAGACGGCCTTCAAAAGAAATAGAAGCGTTGATGAATTCTGGAAAAATCACGCGTTTGCAAATTCTATTCGCCCCGTTCAAAACGAATAGATTCTGAATCTGAAAAAAGCATTGTGTCGAGCTTATCGAGGCAAATCTCGATATAAAGCATGTCCTTGATATTCCGATTTCAGCATTCTTGAATCTTTCTGCGGACGTCTTTTCGCAAAGTTGTAAGACAGCGCGCATTGCTCTTAGTGGATTCCAGCAAAGACTTCTTGATAGCACTTTTTCTGTAGATTCTAGAGCACTAAAAAGTAGTCACAGATGAGTCACAGACTTCTCAGAGGAGACAGAAGGGCTAGTGACTTTTAGAAAAATCAAGTCGATCAAATTTTACCCATTATAATCAGAATGAAGCTATCTTGCTACGCAGATATGATTTTCGTAATCAGCAGATCTGATAACCTCTATGAGCAAGTTTTCCAAGATGTTCGGGTTATTCCTTTATCTGTCTCACTACGCTCCGAGCTCGCCCATGGATTTCGGTCAAAATGTTGATGATCTTGGATTGATAGGAAACTTTGCTTATAGAAGTTTTTGGGCACGCTGTTTACGAAAATCGTGGTTTTTGAAGGATGCAGTCTTTTTTTTAGAGGATACGGTGAGGTAATTGTAACCTGAGTTACTAGAGTTCGTAACTTCATCTTCACTTCTCGTGTGTCTTTCAGAAAGCTTGCCTGCTTTTATAGATTTGAGTCATTGTGCCGTCGAATAGTGCATGTCTTAAGGGTCGGGCATACTTCACGCGATTTCAGTCGCGAGGCGATTTGGCAATTCGCCAGAAGTCTTCGGATCCAACACTAGCAAACTGCACATGTATAGTGTGTATATGTTACGTAAACTGATGAAGTGCCCTATCTTCTGTGCATGTAAAATGTGCTTGCAGTGAGTTATGGACAGTTGGAATATTGCCAAATCGCGTCGCGACTGAAATCGCGTGAAGTATGCCCGGCCCTTTAGGTTACATTCTGTAAAATCGCCGAGTTACAAGCCCGCGAAAACACGTTCTCATGAATTATTCCCAATAGGTAAAGGTCGCATACTTTGTCGAAATTTCACCGCGAGCGGTTGTGCAACCGCTGATTAAACCTGTTCACATCCTCAATGGATCTTTTTGTGTTAACCGAAAATTATCGGCAGGGGAGTTGGGTGAGATGTTACCCGAAATAATTTATTTAGCGCCGAAGTATTGGAGGGACTGCAACTTGTCCTGTAAGCTCTATCTAAAAGCTTTGGTAGAGACTTTGGAAACAATAAGTACTTTTTAGGAGAGCTACATGCCAGGGCCCGGCACCGATGGTTTGGGGTCAAACTGGACTTCGTTTTTGGAGTTAGAAGCAACGGTAACATCGTTTTTATGAGGTCCTGGAGGAAGCGCCAAAAAAAAACACGACGAACATGTCAGGTTTCACGAGTTAAACGTGTTCTTTCGCAAGCGCGCGAATTTCAAATGCAAGACTCAAACAAACAAATGGCTTGTTTACAGCGCACAAACAATCACATGGCTCCGAATTGGGCTTTGAATATACAAATTACTCCAAACTATGTTATGTAAAAAGTTCCCAAAACTTATGTGTCCTAATATCCGTTCTCAAATTTGTTGGTTTCTACACCTACTACCAAACCAACTGGGTTGGTTCGGAGCTTAAATATTAGAGAGTTCACATACCCAATGACAAAGCCTTTAATCGACTCGAAATGTTTTCTTTTTGCTTTTTTGTTATATTACATACCTCAAAATGCGCTTATTTCGCTTTTTTGTTGCTATTTTGGTTGAATAAGGGTTTCCCTACTGATTTTCACGTCGAGAGGCTTCGTAAATTTTCGCGAAGTCATGGGGGACTTCGTTCTTTAAAAACCTCCAAACCAACGCGTGCCGGGCTTTGCTACATGCCCTTATGAATACGATATGAAAGAGGAGCAGAGGTTGTCAAATGTTGTGAATAAAATTTGAAAAATTCTCAAAATCTCATACTATCGGCAGGTATTCATCTAATTCGCTTCCAGAAGCGAAGAAAAAAGCACCAAAAACTGACCAAAAGATGCAACCAAAAGAAGTGCAAAACCAAGCATACAACGCACTGATTCTTCTGTAAGCTGCCGTGAATGATTGAGATAAATGTATGTACACATTGAAAACTCTGTCAAATGGTAAAGATCTCGGTTATTTTGCTTAAAGAAGAAGATTTCAAATCTCTTTACGTAAGGACAACTTCACTTCTCCTTAATGCCTCAACTTGGAGTCCGGACTTTATTCCATTTATCCGTATCTGTTCATTGTTGAGTTCTTACGGCGTGTTGCAGACTAGATAGGCAATCGAAGTCGTATTGTGTTGAGTGATTGGATAATTGAAAATGATCTTTGATTTTTTGTGCAAGTCCAGAAAGGAGTTTATAACTCGAAAAGAGCGGATCGCGCTGATATGTTTTACGGACTACTGCAACGATTAGCAGTAGGTTTGGAAGACCAGTAGTCGCGAAGGCTTTTTAGCGGAGTGTTTTCTAAACGTTGCATCTCAGCAAGCTCAGAAGAACGAAGTGAGCGAGCTGCCTGATGCAATGAGCGGACCCTTTAAGCGGCATCGAGCGCGGTGTTTAATCTGCCAGTGAGAAACTGCAGTAATCGGATGCGAGCGAGTTGCTATGAGCGGCACTGATGTGGAAGCCATACGTCATTCAGCGAAAATCGACAGTGGCAGCGATAAGGCTCGGTGGCTTTTTGAGGATACTGGTGGCGGATTTACGGATGCCCGCTGAAAGCTTTCATTTGTCTAAGCAGCGTGATATACGGCCAGAGCGGATGCGTTACTATATGGCGTCGCTGAAGAAACCGAAACGTTCAGACAGCTTGCGCACCTCTTGCCTGCATCAAAGGTTGCTTACGGACAGAATGCTAGAAGCGACACGCTTTATTGTATTTCCTTCCATTCATAAAGAGCCAAATTAGAAGCCTGTTACCCCGCAGTCGAATCTTGAAAAATGCAAAGGTTTTAAGAAACTGGCTTCAAGATTATATTGAACTTACACTAGACATGGTGTTACGATAATGTGGAAGATTCAATTTTACGAATTAGCCACACGCTTATTTTATTCACACGAAATTCAAATCTTACCATGAATACATTTAGTGGGCTCTCCATAACGAAATGATTCCAAAGCAAAAGGTGAATTAGCTCGGCAAAATTCTTCCGCTTCTTCTTCATTGCTTGTCGGTGCAGGGTATTTTATTACACAGGTGTAAGAGTTCTGAAAAAATTCTTTGAGATTGTCAAGAGGAACAGAGATTGCTTTCAAGTATTTTGACTTTGAAAAAATGATCTCAATTTCATTCAGTTTCAATGTGAGACTCTAGGTAATCACTGTGAGTTCATCGCTTATTTTCAAAATCGTCTATCTTTTCAAAAAGTCGATGAAAATAGTAGTGTATAGTAGTGTACCAGTGGCGGTTCCAGGAATTTTGTCCGGGGGGGGGGAAGGACGCGGAATTTTTTTTTCAAATGAAGGTGCGTGACGCACTTCGAAAAATTTTTGGGGTGCTTCTCAAAATTTTTGCGGGTCCATAACTCCTAAAATCTAGAAAGGGGGGGGGGTGGCGTCAGCCAGGCCCCCGACGAAAATTTTTTACAAGGCTAAGTTAAATTTTTAAAGAATTTTAAAAATTATTTTAATTACTTACAAAAATAAACAAGTCATTTGCACATTTTAATAACCCATGTAGGTAAGTTTCAAAAATTTCGCGACCCGTTCTTGGAGGGGGGCCTCCCCCCCTCTCGGTCCGCCACTGGAGTGTACTAAAAATCTACTCTGACACTGTCAGTATGCTCTCCAGGACAAATAGATTATGCAGGCTGTGAGTCGATGAACCTTACCTCGCGAACAATGATTCATCGAAGATTTTGTTGTTTTGAGGTTTCAACTATTTCTGCTACAAAATAGTATCCCTAGCAGTGTCATAGTAGATCCTTAGAGAACTTTACCACGTTTTTATCGACTTCATGAAAAGATAGATGACTTTAAAAACAAGAAATGATCTCATGGGGATTTCCTAGAAAATCTACTTGTGTGGCAATGTTCTGTCATCCATCACATTCAAGTACTAGGCTGTTAGAACTTTCATTTGAATAAAACTCAAAGTCTGTTTGTTTGTTGATAAGTATGTTTTTATACAATTTATTCTGAGTGGACCAAATGAGCTGAAACCTTGCACACATGTGTTTTCGACTCGGGCGGTTGTTATCTACTACTATTTGCAGCGATTCACTTATCGCCTCCATCGATTCATGGATCTGTTCACTCGAATCTGGGAAAAGGAACCTAACAGTGGCTACAAAGTCATTTCTTGAGCTACTGTATTTCGCAACGATATTCATGTCGTGTTTCTGCAAGCAAAGCACAGTCAAGAGAAGTGCACTTGAAATAGGTTTTTATAGAAGCGAAAAGATGATGTGTGGAAGTCACTTGATATGTTGGAAGTTTCCTGCAGTCAATATTATGTAACGCTCTCTCTAAAACGTAGAATCCGTTTCCGCAGCATGCATGTAAAAGGCAGCAGGTAATGTACTTGCGTTTCCTTATTGACTATTGATGACCAAAAACCAAAGCTTTTTTACACCATTGTGGATTTAACTGAACTTAGTTAGAAACAGCGATGTATTTGTTGTTAGGTGCAAAAATGCGAAAGGGTGTTTAAGTAGTAGCGACCGTAAAATCCAGAGAACTATGTGCTACACTGATTGAGCGAGGAAGCAGTGTGGAATGGTTAGTATAGAAACAACCACTTAGATAATCGCGGGGCAGGCGGTCCGCAAACTCGCGTTTTTTGCAGGCGGTCAGCAGAATTTTGGGGCGTGGCCAGAACTTCAGCGGGCGGTACCTCCTTTACTGTCGAATGCCCTGCTAGCGGAGCAGAATACAGAGTTTTCTGCGGATGCTCGTCAAATAATCTCTTTCAGCGAGCGCTGGCCAAACTTTCAGCGGACGCTAGGACTCCTTTCAAGCAGTTTTGGGCGTACGTCGTGCAAATGTGAGGCTTTATGCTGCAAAGGTGTCATCGATGGTTTAATTACTCAAGTTTAAGGTACTTTCTCCTAGCGGAGAATACCTGAGAGCTGTGCGGTCCTCCACAAAGGACCGCGCTGCCCTCAATGATTTTGCATATTCTCGCGGATTTTCCGCGAGAACATGCAAAATTATTGAGAGCCGCACGGTCCTTTTTGAAGGACCGCACAGCCCTCAGGTACTTTCCGCTGAAAGAAAGTACCCCAAACTTGGGTAATAAAACCATCGATGGCACCTCTGCCACATAGAGTCTCATCTTTTCTCGGCGTACGCCCGAAACTGCGTAAAAAGAGTCTGAGCGCCTGCTGAAAGTTTGGCCAGCGCTCGCTGAAAGAGATTGTTTGACGAGCGCTTGCAGAAAATTTTGTATTGATGCCCGCTTGCAGAAAACGCAAATACCGCCCGCTGAAGATTTGGCCACGCCCCGAAATCCTGCTGACCGCCTGCAGAAAAGCGCGAGTTTGCGGACCGCCTGCCCCCGGCGATTATCTGAGCAATCTCCGGGGGCAGGCGGGCACCGGAAAAATAGATTACTGATCTCTCGCACCCCGCTCGCGGATTTTTTGGAAAGCAATCAGGACTTTTCGGAAGACCGCTTGCTGAGTTTTCGATTCCTCAGAGATTCAGCAATATATCTGCAAAAGATAAGAGCGAAAAAAATTCAACAGGCGGTCTCTCAAAAATCCGCAGACTCAGCAAGCGGTCTTCCGAAAAGTCCTGATTGCTTTTCAAAAAATCCGCGAGCGGGGTGCGAGAAATCAGCAATCTATTTTTCCGGTGCGCGCCTGCCCCCAGCGATTGTCTGAGGGACCGAGGGGGGGGGGGGGGGGAGGTGCAAGCCCCCCCCCCCCCGAGAACGGGTCGCGAGATTTTCGAAACTTATCGTCGTCTCCAGATGTGCGAGGGGGAAGCCGGACCCAACAAAAGTGAAGGTGGTCCCAGCTACCACTGGCCGGCCAGTGAAGGTGGTAGTGTCGGACACTCACCTCCCAAAAACGTCGACGGGCGGGGGGGGGGGGCAGTACGGACGAACAGAGCTATCTTTCTAGGTCGAACTGTTACCCAACGGCCCTCTTTAGGGCCACAGATACCATGAATATTAAAAAAATTTATAAATTTTATTTATAAAAATTCAAAATAGACTTGTTTAATAAATGGTGTATTTGGAAGTAAAAGTTTGTTGGACTGTACGGATTTCATTAAGTAAATTTTGTCATAACATACCGCGAAGGAAGTAGGTCGATTTAGGCAGCAACGGCGAGAACCAGAATTTTGAATATTTAAATAATGAAAAATCATGCAAATTTCCACTGTTAAAAATCTGTTGTTTGAAGATGTCAGCATTTGCGACTTCATAGGTTTTGTAGAGTAAGGTTTGCCTTATCTGAATATATCTTAGCCGTGCCGAGATCCAGAGTCTTGAAAAAGCAGGTAAAAAAGCGCTTTTTGAAATTCAACAGCTCATAACTTCTTCAGAACTGCATGTATCATGTTACGACTTCGTAGGTTAGATTCTGCTCTTCAAGAGCTTTCAGATGTTATATAATATGTGGGGATTCAATGTTTCTTGTGGCTCTAACTCGGGGTGGAGTACTCCTCTTCACTAATTCTCCACCTCGGCCATTTCGATGTATTGGCGGGAGGCCGCGTACTCCACCCCCGGGCATATGCCGTGGGAGGCATGAATTTCCCACATGTTATATATCATTTGAAAGCTCTTGATGAGAAGAATCCAACCTATGAAGTCGCAACATCACACACTTCAAAGTTCGGATTTATAAGATTTTAAATGTCAGTTGTCATTAAGCAACATAAAATTGAAAAGATTTTTTAGGTTTTTCAAAATTCTCGTTCTCGGCGGCCACTCCTCAAATTGAACTGATTTTCTCACTATCTGGTAGAACAACACTTACCCTTCAAAACTTATGAAGTCGCAACTGCGGAGGTCTTCAGCCAGCAGATTTGTAACAGTGGAATGATTTTTCACTATTTTTCATTATTTTATCATTCGAAATTCTGGTTCTCGGCGGTTACTGCCTGGATCGACCTACTACAAGATACATGCGCTCAGTACTTTCTTTTACATTCCTTTTGCTTATTTTCTTTCTTTTGAGCTTTAACGCAAAAGTGAAGGTGGTTACCTTGTACCAGCTCAAAAGTGAAGGTGGTCACCCTGTACAAGCTCAAAAGTGAAGGCACGCGGAATCGGCTCCGACTATCGCACCTCTGGCTAAGATGGAAATAGTAAGGGAATCAAGACAAGCGAAAAAATTCGGTGCACAAATAGGGTGTGACGTGAGGATTAAAGGGAAGGTTCGAATAGATAAAGACGAATAAGTACAAAATTAATGCGATCTTTAATTAAAATAAACTTACCTGCTCAATTTACAAAGAATGTAGCAGCAGAAATGCTTAAAAAAACAAGTCGCACGAGTTTTGAGATTGCTCATCAGCTCCTGATATCGATGCCCTTGCCGTGCGTTGAACCTAGTCATGTGTGCCTACGGTCCTTGCGCACAGGACAAACTCGGCGTACCCAACCTCCAGTTGGGTGCGCCATCCTCCGTCTCCACGCCTGGCACACTTTTCTCACTCGCCCTGCAAGTGACAAAGTCCATGACGTGATCCTATGATTTCCATGGTTTTTACCTGGCAGCCGTGATAAGAGATAACGAGGGCGAATCGCGGCCGAAATGGCACGTACTAAGTATGTGCTGACTTTCAAACATCGCGACCACCACCACGGGAGTTTGTCATAGGCCGAAATGTTATTCGGGCAAAAGCGGTCAGGAGAGTTTATTTTCGTCAGCAGGCATACCGATCACATCAGACCTGCCGACGTATAGTGAAAGTGATGTTACTTTTAACAAGGGAAGGATACTTAATCGCACTGACGATTGGGTAAGCGGTGTATACCGCGTATACCGTCCCCAGACATGATCTCTAAACCGCAATCCGTATCTGCTATGACGTCATTCTGGAGAAGTTATAAAGGATTTTTGGTGCAGTGGATAGTGGCTTGGACTGCAGGGCTGGACTTTGTGGGTTTCATTCCTCTGGGAGGCCACTCGTTTTGCATTTTTGTAAATCTTAGCAGGCAGATTGCAAAACCTGTCTACATTTAAAAAAAGTTGATTTTTACAGTTTGAAGCAACAAATTTGCATTTATAGGCACTGAAAACCGTTTA